GGCGCGGCGACCAGGGCACTGGTTCCTGGCGGCGGGGGCGGACCGCGCACAGGCATGAAGGCGGCCAGGCCCGCCCGCAGCGACTCCTCCCCCCATGCCCGTCAGGAGCTCCACGGCCTCGGCCTTCTCCCACGAGACCCTCTTCGACTTTGCCCGCTGGATGGCGACGATGCGCTGAGCCAGCGTGCCCATCGCGGTCGCCAAATCATGAGTGTTGATCAGGTCCGTCACCAGTGCCAGCGTCTGCACCTCGCGCTGGCCCCGCAGCTCAGTCACGCCTGCGTGGGCCTGCGCCCAGGTCTTGACCGACGCCTGGCGCAGCTGCTTGGTCTCCGTCAAGCGCCCGTGGCAAAGCTTGCGGTGGGCCAGCACGAGAAAGTATCCAGACGGCGCTCCTGGGTGCTTGGCCGCGAACGCCAACGCGCCCCCCTTCCCCTTGAACTTCTCGGTCTCCACCTTGCGCTCCTGGGCAGGGTCCACGCGGCAGCTCTTCGCCTTGAGCCCCTTCCACTGCAAATGCTCGCTGTCGCTGGAGCCGCTGCTGGCGCCGCTGGTGCTGGAGGAGTCGCTGGAGTCGGACTTCTGGTTCTTATCATTTTCTTAGTATTGTCGTGATGCGTGTTATGTGTATTCTTCTTGTCCTTCGACTCACTGACCCCGATGCCATTCTAGATCTGGCTCTGGATCGCGCGCGCCTCCTGCAGCATCTGGGCCAGGTCTAGCGGCGCCGCCGCCGCCCCCGCCCCTGCCGCGGCGTCTGGCACGCCAGCCGCCGCGAAGCCCAGACCCGCGGCAGCCGCGGGTGCCGCCCCGCCCGCGCCTGGTAACGCAGCCACCGCCGCGGGCGCCACAGGACCCCGCGCCCGCCCCCGCAGGCGGCGCGGCGACCAGGGCACTGGTTCCTGGCGGCGGGAGCGGACCACCCGCAGGCATGAAGGCGGCCAGGGCCGGCTGCTGCGATCCAGCATCCGCGACGACGCCCGCGGGCAGCACCATCTCCGAGACGGCCACGTCCACGCCCTGCGCCAGCTCGGCCACGCCAGTCCGAGGCGGACTGCGGCCAGCTCGGCCGCGCTTGGGCCCCACTGCCTGGCTGCGTGGGGCGGCTCGCACACCCACTTCACCGAACCGACCGGGGCCCCGAAAGGCGGCGCGCGGGGGGGCCCCCCGCCAGGCACCACCGCAGCTCGAAAGTGCCCCGGCAGCAGTCGAACCAGCACCCAGACGAATGACGTGCCAGCGTCGTCGGTGGTGAGCCCCAGGCTGAAATCCTTCGCCATAACCTGCCCGAAAATCAGCACCTCGTCCCACTCGCCAGCGCGCGACACCAGCACCCAACACGGCGCTGCCGAACCTGCGGCCGCGCCGCCCGCCAGCGCCATTTCCACCAAGGCGTGCTCGAGAGCGGTCGAAGCAGCTGCGAGCTCGCGTCGTCGTGCGCCCTCGGCTCGCCGAGCCACGTGACGCCCACGCAGCCACCCGACGAGGCCCGCGCCGCCGCTCCAGCAAGCGGACGCCCCGCGGCCAGCCGCCCTCCAGGCCACACGCGCGCCCCGCGCCAGCCTCCCGCGGTGCTCCCAAGCGGCAGCCGCCGCGGAGCTCGCGAGGCTGGCGAACGCCTGCAGGGCCCCGCCACCCCCAGGCGGAGGCGGCCTGGGCGCCTCGGCTGAGCGCGACGACGCCGCGCGCCCCCGCCAGGCCCACGGCCTCGGCGACCTCGGGCCCGAAACGGGCAGCGCTAAGCCAGGTCGCCTGTCTCCAGAACAGCGCAACCGATCCCACAAGGAGGGTCGATCGCGAGCACGGGCTGAGCTCAGTGTCGCCCGTCGTGGTGTCACCAACGATCGCCGCAGCCCAGGGCCAGGCGATCTTGAACCGAAATAAAACAGCATACACAGACGCTGTCCGGATGTCGAGACGAGGCTACATGAGACAACTGGCATTCCAAAAACCATCTAGCAAACTCTGACTCTCTCTCTCTCTCTCTATACATATATATAAGTATATATGTGTATATATACATATATGTGTATATACCTGTGCCCGGCATCACTCCGCTCCGCGTCCGGTCACATCGTCGATGATGCTCGTCCGATGCCGCACCGTCAACACGTTGGCCCGAAAAGCCCCTCGGGGGCGAACCGCATAGCTTCTGGTCATGTTCGCGCGAAGCTCGATCCAAAACGAGTGCCTTCTGTCTCTCCCTCTCTTGAGCAGGGGCCGACCGCCCCAGCATTCCTATAGGCCTACCACAAAATCTTCTTAGACCCCCAGAAAATGCGAAGCATACCGACACCTTTCTCAGAACATGAACCCGATGTGCTCAAACACAAGACAGTCCCAGCCAGAACCGTTATGAGAACAGCTCGTGGAAACCACAAACTAGGTTCTTAAAATACTGATAGGTCGGCCTACAGGGCAGTGTTTTTATACATACGATGTTTAAACATCATATTGTAATGCATGGTTAAAATATGAATAAATGTATGCATGAACTCTTCGCTGTGGTTAATACCAATTCCTTGCATGTTTAAGTCATGATCCGCACCCGGAGCATGTATTTAAAAAGGCACTGTATAGGCACGCCTGGACGCCTCGCCACTGCGTTGCTCTCCATCGTTCTCCTCCTCCCGCCCCCGAGAACGCCAGGGCTTCTCCCTCGTGAGTCCCCGCCCTCCCCTCCTCGCGGGGCTCGGGACCGCGCGCGAAGGGGGGTGGGGTAATGGGGGACGAGGAGGAGGAGGAGGAGGAGGAGGAGGAGGAGGAGGAGGAGGCAGAGGTGGAGGTGGAGGTGGAGGAGGCGGAGGAGGAGGAGGGGGATTGGACGAGGGAGAAGCAGGAGGAGGAGGACTGGATTGGACTCTCCGTCTCTCTCTCTCTCTCTCGCCTTTTTGTCCTGCATCTCTGGTCCTGGCTCCCGTCTGCCGAGGAGGCCCATGGCGCTAAAAGAGACCACCAGTGAGCTGTGGCCTCAGCATCCTGCTCCTCCTCCTCCTCCTCCTCCTCCTCTCCACCCTCCTCCCCCTCCCCCACCCCCTCCACCTCCTTCTCCTCCTCCTCCTCCTCGTCCTCCTCCTCCTCATCCCGCGGCAGAATTGTAGTGGGGACGCCAACGGAAGGCGTAGAACGCTCAACATGCCTTTTCCGATAGGCTCCAAGAGGTTTCGCCAGGAACGCCCGAGAACCCACAACGGCCCGCGATGCCCTCAGGGCAACCCAGAAGGCCCCAAGGTCTCCCTTCAGAGGGCCCAGCAACACTGGGCTGCATTGTGGCTTCCACTGTGTGCCTGCCAAACGTTTTGCCCCAGGGCCGTCTCAATATTGGGCCAACATGGCCCCCTATCGCCCTCAAGACCGCCCAAGATGTAACCAATATCACCCCAAGGTGGCCCACTCAAGGCCCCAAGATGCCAGCAGTACTTAAAAAATGCAACAAGGTCGCTCGATGGTGGCCCGAGCGGCCCCAATATGTTCCGAGGAGGCAGAAGGCGCAAGTCCGCAGATCCGCCAACCCACGGAATTCACAACTCAGCTGGTGCGCAAGACGAGAAGCCGATGCTCAAAGTGTCCCGTAGGTGTTGGCCCAGGGGCCCATAGAGTCTCACTTGCAAACAGCCAGAGGTGGATAACAACGACGTGTGCCATCGATTGCAATTTTTTTCTCCACGCGGGGCCCATCCCACAGGGTTACCTAGATTGCACGGGTACGTTCCTTGCGACCCAAAAGGGGGTCCAGCTGAAAGGGGGTGGTGCAATAGATTTGGGGCAATCGTATTGCGACGGTATTGCGCCAGAATGCTGTATTGCACTGTAGTGCAAGTAATGTATTGAACGCGGAAATCCAGCAATACATTTGCGCCCCAGAATGTACCCACGCCCCAAATCTACTGCAACCCCAAAAGTCTATGGCACCACATATATTGCACCACCCCCTTGTCGCTGAACCCCCTTTTGGGTCAACCCGATACATTGCGCGGCATGAGATACCCGAGACGGGCTTTCAGAGCCCCCCCCAACAGTAGACACCAATTATCGTTTCGACGCCCGTTTTGGCGGACTAGGATCCCACCCCTGGCGTTGGTTCCGGATACCGCGGGGATCAACCTTGAACGATCGGCTTGTTCTCAAACGTCAGATCGTTCAACATCGAGCGATTCTGGGTCGCAAGGGCGGCGTTCAACGTTGATCGCCAGCGGAGGGGTCGCAGCTGGTCGACACGACGCGAAGCTACAGTAACAACGATGATTATGTTGCTTCGAGCGATCCTCTCTTCAAAGCTCGGGGGCGGCCAAGAGGGGGGCGTCCAAGATTGGGGGGCGCAAATCATGACCGGCGGCATGTGCGAGGCCCCGGGGGGGGCCGCGGACATGATGAAATAAGAAGAGGCGTCAGGAAATCCGGGGAGATATCATGGCCCCCGTCATGATAACCACTCTCCCTCGTCATCACCCCCCCCCTTGGTCTCAGAAGGAGGGGGAGGAGGAGGAGGGGGAGGAGGAGGAGGAGGAAGAGGAGGAGCAGGAGGAGGGGGAAGAAAGAGATGACGACGACGACGACGACGAAAAGCGAAGGGCGGGATCCCCAGGGAGCACCAGGGCCCTTGTTGCCTGCCAGCCGCGGTCTGCAGTCGTCACTCGTCGGAGGCACGAGGCTGGACAACCCCAGGGAGCACCTCCTCCTCCTCCTCCTCCTACTCCTCCTCCTCCTGCTCCTCCCCCTCCTCCCCCTCCTCCTACTCCTGCTCCTCCTCCTCCTCCTCCTCCTCCTCCCTCCTCCTCCTCCTCCTCCTCCCCCTCCCCCTCCTCCTCCCCCTCCTCCTCCTCCACCTCCTCCTCCTCCTCCTCCTCCTCCTCTCCTCCTCCTCCTCCTCCTCCTCCTCCTCCTCCTCCTCAAACCTGACGGGTCGGGAACAAGCCCCTCTTCCCCTGAAGCCGACAACATTGACTGGGACGACAAGACTACATGGCTTTGGTTCACCGTTGTTGCTTGCCCCGGAGTTCCAGTGGGTGGGCGAAGACGATGAACAAAACGATGAGGACGGCAGCCAATACGAAGGTGCCCATGTTCTGACTCAGCCAGATCAAGTTGGAGAAACTGCCCTCTGGCAAGAAGCAGCTGACCACATGTATGACCATCTGGAAGACACAGAACGCGAACATTGAGAAGGTGGCTAAAGAGATCTTCCAAGTCATCACGTCGCTGATGGTGTGGAGCGCAGGGATAATCGCCAAGTGCATTCCATAATCTATCTGCCACGCCAACTTCCGGATGTTCTCCTGGATTTTGCCCGAGATCATGTACTTTGGAATTTTCGGCATCACGGTGCGGACGTTCAACTGATCTGCGTACAAAACCTCTAACAAGGGAGATGTCGCCCCCTACCCCCGACTTCTTGTGAGGAGGCAACTACTGGGAGGCCTTCGTCGGAAGGATTAGGGAGGATTAAACCCCATTGGGGGGCTGTTACGCCGGAGTAGACCTCGGATTACGCGGGATGAGGCCCGATTGAGCAGGATCAAGCGGGATTAAACCAAATTAAGCGGGATCAAGTCGGATTAAGCCGGACTGCGGACCAGGGCAAAATCAGACTTTGACCTCCCAGGAGTTGCATCTGAATTCTTTGGCTTTTGAACAGGACCAAGAACTCCGGGCCCGACTCGTGGACAGAAGACTGGGGACCGCCCCTCCTCGCTAGGGGGGCGCGTCCGCATAGCCCCCTGGGTGCGTATCCCCAAGCCCCCCCCCCTTGCCTGGAGAGGCTCGACTTTCGTGAAAAAGGGGGGTTGGGGGCGAGAAGTCGCCTGCGAACCCTTAGGATCAGGTCGGGCCAGTACCCCTACAGGAGAATTTTGGATGAATAATTAAAGATACCCAAACAATACTCCCAAAATGTTCAAAATAGTCCAAAAATCTTCCCCCGACTAATCTTTGACTATTTTGGAATATCCTTCCTGTAGATGGACAGACCCGACTTAACTTTGGGTGTCTGCTCCATTGGAGAGCCCACGTGGCCCTTGGCGCTGTCCGCTCCAGGCCTGTCCTAGACCGGCTTTGGAACCCACACTTGGAACCCGACTTGGACCGGATCCTGGCCCCTCACAAGGGAAACGAAGGGAACCCAGAGATCCAACGCATTGAAAAAATCGAGGCGGAGGTCTTTCGCAAATTTCGGCCCCCAGGGGCCCTCGCCGGGCCTCGGGACCGTCAAAAAACGACTCAGGATGAAAAACTGGTCCTGGGGAACAGGTCGAGACTTCCGGGGGCCCCGCATCGAAAAAATCACGACATCGGATCTCTGGGAACGAGGAGGAGGAGGAGGAGGAGGAGGAGGAGGAGGAGGAGGAGGGGAGGAGGAGGAGGGGGAGCGAGGAGCGGAGCGAGAGGAGGAGCGAGGAGCGAGGAGAGAGAGGAGGAGGAGGAGGAGGAGGAGGAGGAGGAGAGGAGGAGAAGGAGGAGAAGGAGGAGGAGGAGGAAGAGGAGGAGGAGGAGGAGGGGGAGGAGCAACAGGAGGGGCGATGCGCGGGAGAAGGAGCCGGCTGCACTCTCCACGCGGTGCAGATGCAGGGACAGCTGACTTCAGTGCCGCCGCCAAAAGCCCCCCGTGAGCACCCATCGAAGAACCTCAGTCTCGTTCTCCTCAGTTCCGTCGAGCTCGTCGTACTGCACGACGAAACGAGTCCTATCCTCTCCGATCTCCGGCGGCAGGACTCTGGACACCGTGGCGCGCCGCCTCTCCTGGATCCTCACCATGCTCCTCTCCTTGAGCACGGCCTCGTCCACGTCTTTCTTGTTCACCGCGACCCAATCCTGGAGGGACGACAACTACACAGACAGAAGCTCTCGGAGGTCCGAGCAGACTGCTTGCATCGGCGCTGGGCCCCCCTCCCTGGAAGGACGGCGCCAAAGGCGCCGCACAGGGCCAGGGGATCCACGGAATCGCGCGGACCTCCGAAAACTTACAGTCGGCCTTGATTGGAGAGGACACGCGAGAGGACAAAAGACCCTCTCCGGGGGGAACGCTGCCATGGGAATGCAGGAGGCATGGGTCGCGAGACACAGGGCACAAGGGTACCCTTGACTTGGCAGGGTCGACCTACTAATCTCGGGCTGGGCGAAAGAGGGGGATAGCAAAGGGGGGCGTTGAGAATCAGCTCACGTAGCTGATTTTCCCGGCGCCTCCCGGCGCCGGAGGCGGCTATGTATCGAGGAATGGGCCCCTCGGTTGGGCCGAAACCAGCTGCATGCAGCAGATTTCGTACCCCCCCCTTTCCCAATCCCCTCCTTTCGTCCGGCCCGATAATCAGGGCCGACTGCACCTTCTTGCGAGCTGTTTCGTCTTCGACGTCCATCTTCTTCAGCACGCGCACAATGTCCGGCAGCGTCAGCGAGGTGACGTCCTCCTCGAAACCCCTAGACGGGTCGAGCAGGTCCCTGCAGGAGGGAGCAGGCTTGGAGTCCCGAGACGGTGCGGTGACAGACTCCTTCTCCTCCTGCTCCTCCTCCTCCCCCTCCCCCCCTCCTCCCCCTCCCCCTCCCCCTCCCCCTCCTCCTCCCCTTCCTCCTCCTCCTCCTCCTCTTCTTCTTCTTCTTCTTACTATCATTCTCATTCGTCTTATTATTATTAGTATTATTATCAGTATCATTATTATTATTATTATTATTATAATTATTATTAGTATTAAAAATATTGTTACTACTATTAGTATTATTATTATTATCAGTATTATTATTATCATCATCATTATCATTATCATTATTAGCATTATTCTTATTATTATTCGTCTTCTGATTACACTTATTATGCTTATGCTTATGTGTCTGCTTCTGCTTATGCTTCTTCTTCTTCTTCTTCCTCCTCCTCCTCCTCCCTCCCTCCCTCCCTCCCTCCCTCCCTCCCCCCCTTCCCCCCTCCCCCCCTCCCCCCCTCCCCCCCTCCCCCCCTCCCCCCCCCCCTCCCCCCTCCCCCCTGCCCCCTCCCCCCCCCCCCTGCCCCCCTGCCTCCCTCCCCGCCTCCCCCCCTCCCCCCTCCCCCTCTCCCCCCTCTCCCCCCTCTCCCCCCTCTCCCCCCGCTCCCCCCCTCCCCCCCTCCCCCCTCCCCCACTCCCCCCCTCCCCTCCCTCCCCTCCCCTCCCCCTCCCCTCCCTCCCCTCCCTCCCCCTCCCCTCCCTCCCCTCCCTCCCCTCTCTCCTCCCTCCCTCCTCCCCCTCCCTCCCCTCCCTCCCTCTCCCTCCCTCTCCCCCCACTCGCCCTCCCCCTCCCCCCTCCCCCCCCTCCCCCTCCTCCTCCTCCTCCTCCTCCTCCTCCTCCTCCTCCTCCTCCTCCTCCTCCTCCTCCTCCTCCTCCATCTCCTCCTCCTCCTCCTCTCCTCCTCCTCCTCCCTCCTCTCCTCTCCTCCTCCTCCTCCTCCTCCTCCTCCTCCCCCTCCTCCCCCTCCTCCCCCTCCTCCCCCTCCTCCCCCTCCCTCCTCCTCGTCCTCCTCGTCCTCCTCGTCCTCCTCGTCCTCCTCGTCCTCGTCCTCCAATTCCTCCCTCCTCCTCCTCCTCCTCCTCCTCCTCCTCCTCCTCCTCCTCCTCCTCCTCCTCCTCCTCCTCCTCCTCCTCCCTCTCCTCCTCCTACTACTCTTCCTCTACCTCTACCTCTACCTCGAAATCCACCAAGACCTCACCGCACGGTCCGTCGGCGCACGGTTCTGGGACCTCGGAGGCCCCTAGCGCCCGAGACGTCATCGGAGAACGCGACGCGAGTCCCAAAACCGTGCGGTGTCCCCGCACGGTGTGGTCACCGCCCCATTTGTCGGGGGCGCGCAAGCATGGATGAGCGATCCATGGATTTGGCGCGCGGTTGCCAAATCCATGGGTCGGGGAAGGTGCCCTCCCCAAAGGCGGCTGGTGCCGCCTCGCTCGGCGGCGGAAATCCGCGATTTCCAGTGGAACCGGAACCCGTCGCTAATCCACGCCCCCTTGATCCATGTTTGCGATCGCCTGAATTTGGGGGCCCCCGAGACTGGCCCAGAAGGGGGGGAGGGGAAACCTGGGGATACGCGATGCACCGCCGACAGATCGGCGACGGGGCCGCCGATAGCGGGTCTGCACGGCGCTGGCCGCGGTGGCGGGCTACCAGGCACCTATTTGTAAGTCGGGCACGTCCCTCTACAGAAAGAATATTCAAAATAGTTCGAGCAAAAATCAGGGGACGCTTTTTTATGTAGTTGTTTGCTTGACTATTTGGGGGTATGTTTGAAGATTCTGAATATTTCGCCCAAATCCGCATGTAAGGGGACATGCCCGACCTAAACCTAGTTTCCGCGAGGCCTGGGCCACGGGGGAGGCGACACGTATCCCTCTGAGCGAAATACTTACCAAACCACCCCCAACCCAACCCAACCCGAAGACCCGAATTCCGGGTCGAGGGGGGGGTACGGGTTCCATCCGCACTTCTTCAAATTGTTCCCCGACCCCCCCCCTCACTGGAAATGCAGGGCAAATTGAAGCCTCCGGGTTGGTTTGGAGCGCGTTTCTTCTTCTTCGGCGATAGTGGGCATTCTAGAGGGGGGGGGCTAGGGGGGGCGTATAATGTAACGCCTCCCCCCCGCCGTGCGCACGACGGCAGTGCTTGGAGCGCACTCGGGGGGAGGGGCGTTACGTTATAGGGGGGAGGGGCGGGAGGGACTGGGGGCTATAATGCCCATTAGGCCTCAAGCATTAAATGAACACGCTCTTGGTGGGTGGTGATGAGCTTATCCCACCCCCGGACCTCTGTGTCGTCGGCGCCCTCCCTCCTTCTCCTCCTCCTACTCCTCCTCCTCCTCCTCCTCCTCCTCCTCCCCCTCCTCCTCCTCCTCCTCCTCCTCCTCCTCCCCCTCCTCCCCCTCCTCCTCCTCATAGTCCTCCTCCTGTTCCTCCTCGTCCTCCTCCCCTCCCCTAGCGCTGCCCCTGGCCTGAAGCCTCTGGCCACGAAGTCGTGGAGGCCCCGCTCCGACAGCACCTGCGGCACGCGCCGCACTCAGCGCTGCCGCGAGCGGCCTCTCCCGCCCGCGGCCCCGCGCGCGCGCGCGCTCTCGATCTCGGGGGGCGCCAGGAGGGGGGGGGGCTCGCAGATCGTGACCCGAGGCATGTGGAGGGGCAACGATAAGGGGGGACAGGCATTGGGCGGGGGGGGGATGCATCGACCTGGAATCGGCGATACATCGCCGACGGACAGGCACCAGGCCCCCGATGGTGAGTCCGCACCACCGGGCAGGCGACAGGCCCCCGACAGGCTCCCTGGGCAGGGTGGGGTTGTCGGGCCCCTATCAGTGGGCGATTGGGAGTCGACGCATCCTCCCTATGCCTATCCCCTATCGTTGCATGTGCGCGGACGAGGGGGGCCTCAGGACGTACTCCGAGTTTCTTGAATAAACGTCGGGGGGGCGTCACCCCCGCCGACGGCCCCCCACACCGACCCCCGTCGCGGGCAGCCACCGCGCACCGAAGGCGCTCAGACCCCCGTCGCGTCGTGACGACGAGGCGAGGTTGACCCCGGTCAGGGGGGTAACCCCCCCACGCTTACTAAGAGACACGGAGTACGGTCAACCCGTCTCATAAGGATGCGCGGTAAGGATGCGATGGCCTTGGAGGTCCACGTTAACGTTCTCCGAAGGAGGTTGGCCAGCGAAAGTCGCTGAGGATGGGCCGAAGGAGCAACGATGCAAGGGTACCCTTGGGAAGGCTTCTCATGCTTATGATGCGGGTTGACTGTATCGAAATAAGAGCGCAGCTCCAGGAACGCATCCCGAGTGTGGAAAGCTAGTTTTACGAACACCTATTAAAATATCGAAATTCGGACCTCCAACGTTTCTCCTCCTCCTCCAGATCTTCTTGCCTTCGCGCCTATCGAGATTATCCTGCTACGATTCCTGCTCCTCGGGTGAAGGTCGAGCGTTCTGAAACCACGTAGAGCACGGTATGTGGTTGGGTGAGTGGGTTCGCTGGCATACACAACAACACATTCGTGCCCAGCCGCCAGAGATTGCCAGTGCTGCTGATGGCCGCGCTGCGACTGTTACTGTTGTTCTTGATGCTGCGAGAACAATGCGATTCATGTGTCGTGAGGACACCTGCGAAGGTATATGTGTAAGTGAGGGGAACTAGGATTAGCATAGCATGTTGTCAGGGGCATGGTAAGGGATAACAAGTGCACGGCATAGGGGATTGCGGAACGTATCCAAGTACAGCGGACGTAGCGCCTGCGCGCACCACATAACGCGTTTACACCACAATGTCTGTATGCATGAAGAGCCAGTGTGCACCTCCAAGCCTCCAACGGGACCCAAATCTGTAAAAATCGTGGGATGGCCGGACGTGTCAAATTCAAGATGTAGGTGATGTATGACTCTCATTTTCTATTCCGGCTCAGGGTACGATCATCCTCGCCTTGGCCCATAATGCCTGTGCACACCGAGCTGCCTATGCGCACTGTCATGCCTGTGTGCGCAACAGTTGCGGTGTCCCCCGGGGCCTGCGGAATGGCGCAAGCAGATGCAATTCACCCACCCTGGCAAATATGTTTTGTGGTTTGGTGGCACAACCTGCGGGTGTCGGAATTGCCCGCAGAGCTCGGCATCAGCGCGGGCCAGGTCGCCAACATGTTCTGGGACCCCCGAAACATCTCAATTGGCATAGCAATGGCCGTGTACTAGTTTGCTGTCGAACGCACTAATTGCATCCCAGAGCCAAATACGCCTGTGAGCCCACCACGGCGCCCCTTCCTGGGTACACCACAGTGCGTCAGTAAACTAAGCTGCGTGTGCACACCACAGCGCCTGCGTTTACAACGAAGCACCACTTTACCCGTGTGCACCACGTCTGCTGCTTCACCAGCATCTATGGCGAACCACAATGCCTGTACACCACAATGCCTGTATATACCGTACTGCCTGCATGCACCTCCAGGGCCCCGACGGTGTTAAAATCCAGAAGACCGTGGTGGGCCCGAATCTACCAAATTCAACTTTTCAGATGCTAAATGCAATTGCTGATTTTCCTCACCCAGGGAAGGGTCCAGACCCGCAGTGCATGCGCACACTGCGGCGACTATGAACATCACAGCTCTTGTGCACATCAGAATGCCAGTGTGCGCTAAAATACCTGTGCACACTACAATGCTTGTATACCACCGTGCCTGTTAACACCACAGCCAGGCTAGCAGCACAGCTGTGTGTGAGCCTGGTGTGCACCATGCTACGCGCGTGCACCACAATACTGGAGTGCACCACGGGGCCTGCGTGCGGCTCAGTGCCGTGTGCAGCGCCGCGCCCATGCGGGTGGCACAGCAGGCTGCGATCGCCAGGCGCCTCTACATACCGCCGGCGCCTGCGTACGCACAAACACTCGCTGTTCATGTGCATCTGCGCTAAACAACGTGCGCTGCTGCAGACGGAGCGGGTGGGATGGGAGGCGTTATGCTATCTACTGAGTGTGTGGGTGGGTGGGTGGGAGGCCACATACGGCGCTTTCTGTCGCCACCAGAATACGGCACCCCCCGCTTGCAGGGGGCGAGTGGGAGTGTCCCATGATCGGCTGTTCCCCTTCCCCCCGTCCCACTTCCCGAGAAAAATTCAGAGGGCCCAGGGGGGGAAGGGGACCAAGTTCGTCAACGCACCCCAGGGGTTATCCCGAGCCTCCAAAGAGCCCCTGAACAGCCCACCGAGCGCCGAGACAATCCAAGAGAGCGTCAAGACGGGGTAACCCAGTGACGGTCCAAGATGGCTTCAAGACGGCCTACGAGGCCCTCAAGATGGCCCAACAGTGCTCCCACAGGGCCGCCGAGAGCTGGACCTCGTCCACTACGGCCCAAAGAGCCACAAAAAACGTCCCTAGACGGCCCATGAGGCCCAATAGGGCCCCAAAACGGCCCCAGAGACCCCTAAGACGGCCGAGGAGGCCTCCAAGAGGGGCAAAACGAACTGACATATCGAGCCTTTCCCGTCGTGATGGCCCCAAGAGCCTCCCAGCGACCCCCGTGGCGCCCCCGAGAGGCCCTAAGAAGCTTCCAAGAGGCACCCAAGAGGCCCCCAAGAGGCCTCCGCAAAGCCCCCCCCAAAGCCAACCAGATGCCCCCAAGAGACCTCCTAGAGGTTCCTGACAGGCATCCCAGGAGACACCCATATGCGTTCCGGAGGCTCCTAACTCACAGGCCAAGCGCGGTGGCACGACTCTTCAGGAACCCACTCTGATGGGGGTCGGCGGAATTGCATAAGCCCCTTGAACAAGCTCGAACTCACGAGGTCCGCCCGGCGCGTCGCCTTCTCACGCGCGGGGGCCCTGCGCGGAAAAAGCCTCACTGACGACGGGGGAATATATCGGGCAAGCGCTGACTTGGATTATGGTTCCGTGGGCCTGATGCGTTGGGGAACCATTTCCCAGGATCGGGGATGGTACCGCCCGAATCACGAAGCCAATGCCGCCCCATTCGGCGGCCGCCAGGGACGGGGGGAGGGCGGGTCAACGGCTTGACCCGCCTGAGGCCCTGGCCGCAGCGAAGCCATTCCTCTCGCCCGCACACGCAGCTTCGCCTCGCCTGCTCGCCGCGCGACGCGAAACCGATGCCGAAACCGACTTCCTGGCGGGGGAATCCAAACCTCCGGTTCCCAATCCGCCCCCAACCTCCGATTCCGTTCCTTGCCCCCCTGTCTGCCTCGCTGGCTGCTCCCTTGCCATTCCCTGGCCTCCCTCCCCCTCCCCCTCCAATCATTTACCGGGAGAGCGCTGTCCCCCGCAGAAGTGGTGCATGGAATCGGTGCAACATCGGTCTCCTCAACTGTCTGGAAGTCACGCAACGACATAGCAGCATGTCGGTTAAGCTGCAACGCGCGTGATATGCGCACGGGAAGGGGGGGGCGACGACGCGTCGACGACCCGGCGCGCGCACCCTGTTTCCGACGCGAGCGCAGTCCCGCGGTGCCTGCTTGATCGACAATCCAACTGTAAGACAAGAAGGTTCAATGATGCGTCGGCGGCGGAAGCAGACAGGTGGCGGCGGCGCAGGGACGGCGGAAGAAGTATTCTAACAACTCCCCCCGCGTCGGGACACGCAGGTCCAAGGTTTCGGCTCGTTCCGGAGGTTCCCAGGTTCGCGTCGCCCCCAGGCACATTGGCCATGCTGGCGCCAGCCCCAAAGACACATTTTACAGCGCACAGGGCGGGGTAGCAGCTATTACCGAAGGAGCTCTTGAAGAGGGCTGCATTGGGTGGGCTGACGTATCGCGCTGGCTGAACCAGCGGACGCACCCGTCCCGGGCCCTCGAACCATAGTGCCCCATGGTGCTGGGGATGTGTTTTTTTTCCAGAGTGTGACATTGCTGGCCGATGCAGCAACGTCCCCATATAGAATTTCTTGAAGACGAAGTGGCCACAGCAGCGGCCGCTGGCTCAGTGTCAACGGCATTTGGCAATGCCTGACATTAAGGTCGATGCTGGAACCGACTGAGGCAGCAACCTTATCGACATCCATAGGGTTTCCGACGTCGTATGAAACGACAGCGGGACCTCCGCACTTCTTGTATGCTCGCGAAACGGCAGAAGCAATCGCGGCATAATTCTCATGCTATTTGGTAGCCGTTAGATCCCAAAACTCAGCGTCATCACCAAATGCTTCTTCATTCCGTTCGACTTGACCGTCGAACTCAACCATGCATTCGTGGATCGATCGCGAAGCATTCCTCAGGTTGGACCCAGGGTTGAAAGCCAAATCCTTCATGTATTGTTCTTCCAAATCTGGACATTGGACCGCCTCTCTGACCTCCGCATCCAGCGTAGCGGCATCTCTTCTCACTGCATGGGGCAGCGTTCGGACCCGAGCGGCGTCCCCAAATCACTTGCAACACCTGGGAAAACAACATCACGTTGTTCCATGATGCACTGCGCATGCTATAAACGGATTGCAGAGTTCCGGGGATTTTCGGCAATCCTCTTGCCCTAGAAATGACCCGCTAACTTAAGCTAAAC